ATAATCATTTTGTATAAAATACCAATACTTTATTATTATTATTTATTTTTATTCTTATTATTATTCTTCTTCTTCTTCTTCTTCTTATTATTATTATTATTATTATTATTTTATTTTTTTTTTTTTAATCGACTATGCGTTTTGCTGTAATGTATCGGCTATGTACATTTGTCAGGTGGCATTTATAAAGTAAAACCTGCTAATATGTTTAAAACATGTGTTATTATAGTCTATTGAGAAATTTAACTATAAAATATTAATAAACGCTTTTTCAATGACGGCTGATCGTACATTTTGTTGTCTTCGGACGTAGTAACGCCGAGAAAACGATCGATGACATAATTTCCCTTTAGGTATAATAAATCAATCTTCTCGTGCAGTTTGACAAACGAAAGACGCGTGTTCCGATGAACTAACTGTTCAATATGATTAATTCGAATAGAGAAAAACTGAATTATATTTGTAATGCAATATTTGACGTATGCAAGCATTATGATTATTATACTTTGTTATTACGCTATGTTGATTACTTTGTTTATTTATGTTGTTGTTGTTGTTTTTTTTGTTTTTAGTTTTTGTGTTTTGCATTGCCATTGGCAGTAAATCGTTCGTTTGTTTTTTTTTCTTTTGCTTTTTAAATAATTCTTTTGCTTTTTTGCTTTTCATTCAATATACTTTACGAATGCAACGACTCTCTTCTTCGATAAAAGAAATTTTGAGAAAAATTTTGAGAAAAATAAGCAGATAGAAAAACGATGTGCAGACAAGGTTCAAGACTACAGTGAAACATCAGAATATTGATAAATATTAATTTAATGTTCAATAAAAAATATGTAAAATATAGAAATTACCAAAAATCATTTCTCAAACATTGTTTTTCGGTTGATCGAAAATGAGTAAATAATTATTTGATACATTTACAAAAATTCACAAAATTACAAAGTAGCATAAATTAAAAAACATTTTCCTCGCCGAAAGAAGAATCGACGTTGCATACAATCTCTGCTTTTGTCGTCATACGCATTAACAATCTGAAAGTGCTTCGACCTACGCTTCGTTTTTTCCTTGTAATCTCTTTCTAGCAACTCTTTGCAGAACTTGTGTATACGCGAAAGAGCTCTCGTATAAAAAGTGCTATTCATACTTAATAGGACTTCATTATCGCTTAGTGTTGGAGTAGCAGTGCATTTTCTTTTTTATTTCTTTCTTCCCCCCCTTTTTTTTTGTTTTGTTTTTCCGTTTTTGTTTTGTTTTTGTTTGTTTGTCTGTTTTTATTTATTTTTTTTTTTTATTTTTTTTTTTTGTACAGGCGTCGAAGAATTTTTTTTAACAAACAAAAAAAAAAAAAAAAAAAAAAAAAAAAAAAATAAATCTGGTACAAGATTATACTTTTAAGTGTTCGTGATTTGTGCTTAAAACTCGGTTGTTTATGCATCGGTATTCGCATCGGCGCAATCGCACGTTCGCGACGCTCGTATCTACGCACATTGATAAAGTAACAGAAGAGAAGTGTCACCTGCTTACAACAAGAACAAACTGCCTAAAAATGTGTATGATCGATCTACAATATTTTTTCCTATGTCTACTACGTCGTACAGGAACAAGAATGACGAAGGCTCGCGCTCCTTTTCGCCGCGTTAACTTTTATTTATTCATTTCTTTTCCTACATTATTGTACTACAATTTGGCTATGACAGTGTGCGTGGAAAGTAATTAGTTTTTTTTTTTCTCTGGCACTGGGCACTTTCAGACGCAACGGAGAGACCTGACAAAATTAATAATAAACGCTCGTTGAGGATCCACGAGACATTTTACACAAATGGCATCGAATTATCCGACAAATGCTTAGCGAATTGCACTAAGGAACAAGAACATACTGAACATGCGTTAATAGGGAAAAAAAAAAAAAAAAAAAAAAAAAAAAAAAAAAATAAATAGAAAAAGAAAAAGATAAAGAAGAAGAAGATGAAGAAGAAAACAAGATATTTGATGATATCAAAGTACATTATGTTACGTATAAAGCTTATTACAATGTAATATTAGGATCCTCGACAATGCGAATCCTCGCTTCGAAGTCTGCTGTGTTTTATATCTTTGGAATAAAAATTGAAGAAATTGCACGAGGAATTAGCCACGCTTTCTATCTACTCGCCGTCTCTCCGTTTATTATTTTTTTTTATTTATTTATTTTTTTTTAACTCTTAGCTCCATCTAGCATCCTATAGTTTTGCACTCATTTCTCTTTAAGTACTAACCACTTCTCTAAACAGTGCGTTTTTTTCGTATTTCCTCGCTCTCGCTTATGTAAGGGAGTTGTATAAGTCATACCATAATCACTACGCTTTATACGAACCGAATATTAAATAATTATAATAATATATTCAATATGTAGTTTGTAAAACCACGCGATGACTAAAATTGATCTTTTGCACCTCCTTTAATTCGACATTCTTAAAAATAAATATACAGCGTCGACTTTTTCTTATTTTCTTTAGGCATTGCTATCTACAAGTTATGAATCGTTAGGCTTAACTTTCTTAAGAACTTACGTGTTCTACAGTTGTTATGTACAGCGCTATTTAAAAAAAAAAAAAAAAAAAAAAAAAAAAAAAACAACACACACACCTCCATGTCTTATGTTTTTTCTACTTCAATTTTTCTATTGATTTCGCAAAATATATAGATTATAAAAAAAAAGTAAACACAATTTTTTAAATTATATATAGAAATGTGAGACATTTCGTATTTATTTCGATACAAAAAAAAAATCGACTTTTTTCCTCATTAAAAAATAGTGTATAAAACAAAATCAATAATGCGATTTACACACAAAAAAAAAAAAAAAAAAAAAAAAAAAAAAAAAAAAAAAAAAAAAAAAAGAATAAAAGAAAAAAAACTCGCATCATGTATTTGGAACAAGTTGAGCCAGATAGAAAAAATTATTAATATATGCTGTAAATATTTCCAAGAAAATGTTTTTAAAAAAAAAAAAAACTGTAAACTAAACAATAAATGGATTTATAAAAACAGGTAAAGATATTTAAAAAAAAAAAAAAAAAAAAAAAAAAAGGGTAACGCATTATTTAAGTCTTAAACACATTTACGAACTTCCTCACTTAAGTTTCTACGACTGACCTTCAATTTTTATTTTCATTAATTAAATTACCATTTTTTCGTAACATTGTAAATCTTTTTTTTTTTCAACATGCACACACGATCTACAAATTTTTCTTCGCAATTCTCTTTTCCACATTCGCTCTGAAACGCCGTAGGAACCGAGTAGAATGAGCATCATTGCTCTACATCATACGCAATCGTTATCTTTCTACAATCTTTTTTTAGTCTTTCCTTAATTGAAAACATTCACACACGTACGTTATAAACGTTATTATAAAAAAATCGTGCGCTATTACAAAGAATTAAAGAATTTCTTGCTTGATTCTTTGCGCCATAATATTCTCTAACATTCGCTTACTTATTCGTAGTAACGTATAATAATATTAATAATTAATAAAAATAAAATTACTTATAGTAAAGATAATAGCAATAACGTAATATATACAAACGCTAAATGACTCGATCTGACTATTTGCATTTTTTTCGTTTCTTTCATGCGCAATCTCGTGTTTGTTTTTTCTCTTTCTGTCTCACTTCTCGAAGAATAGCGGTTACATCGACGTCGTTAACAGCTTTTTTTCATTTATTTATGTTTTTTTTTTTACTTACAACAGTTAAAAATGAATTAAGTGTACCCTTAAGTGTTATAATGTGTAAAGCGTATTGCATTGCCTTCCCCCAGCACGCCTCCCAACGTTTTCGTTTCATTTCTTTGCTTGCACATTACTGCCGCTGGTTTTTAACGATTTTTAATTGCTTTTTTCATCCTTTAATTCTTCAATGGATGCGTCGAGGCAAGCTTTTCCTTCCTTTCTTCTCTTACCGTCATTTCCATCCTCTTTCGTAATACTTATATAAATATGCTCGTAATCAAGTAAACTCTAAGGAAGATTAATACAATCGTGTAAACCTCAAGGAAACGTCCGCGACAGTTTCAAAACAACTGGCAGATAAAAGAAAAAAAAATTATAAATCTGTATTTCTTAATCGTCTGGCTCGTAATTTGCAAAACGAAATTTGTTTCCACAGTTAAATACGTTAAAAATTAGATCTTCCGTTTTCTTATGTTATATTTTTACAATCACTGGTTACTTGGCAAATAAAAATCGTTGTGTTACTTTCAACAGTTACTGCTACCTTCTCATTAATGTCACTTGCGCGTATAATATATAGTGTTAAAATTTTCGACACTAACATTACGAATAACAAAACGAACTTGCATTTAAAAAAATTCGCGAACTCTGCTATATACTTGGCTTATTTTCCCTTTACATACGTGTATATATATATATATATATATATATATGTGTGTGTGTGTGTGTGTGTGCGTGCGTGTGTGTGTGTGCGCGCGTGTGCGTGCGCGTGTGTGTGTGTTTACGTGTGTGCGTGTGTGCGTGCGCGCATATGCCCATACATACGTATAGAAAAATGAATAATAATACTGCACATCTAGCTAACGTGTGAAAATAATTATAATTATAAAAATAAAAATAGACGATGGTAGTAATAAATAAAATGAAGATATAAAATCACGATAAATTGAAAAGGCAATTTATAAAGGTAGAGAAAAAAAAATACAGATAAGGGACGATTAAAACAAACGGACCGCGCGGCTGGAGCTGAGGAGAAGCCCCAAGCAAACACACGTCCAGCCTAAAAAGATCCAAAATAGGCGATTGTAAAAATGCCACATAAGTAGCGCAAGAAGATGCCCCCCCCTCTCTCTCTCTCTCTCTCTCCCCGCTCCCTCACCCAATACCATCATCGTCCTCCCCCGTGTTCTTCGTCGAGAACGAGTCAAACGAAGCAAAAAAGGAAAGCGCTCTCTTGCAGGAGCCGCTGCCTCGACGTTCAGCAAACCTCGCTCGCTCTCTCGCACGCACGCATTCCTCGACTCTCATTCATCAGGAGGCGTATTCTTCACATCCCCATTTTCGTTTTCGTCCTCTTCTCCGGGCCCTCGCCCGTCCCCTATCTCCGTTCGCTCGGTTTGTCGCACTTGGGTCGCGGGACGATCGCCGCCGTCACCGTCTTTCCTCAAAAATGGACATCCCTGACGTCCGTCGGTGTGCCCGCCTTCTCGTGCTCCATTATCTTGTCCTGGGACGTTGTGTCCTGGTCCCCCAGCTGTCGCTGCTGCACTCCCATCGTTGACATGGCTTCGCCCTGGTAATCGCCTTGACTTACACCTACGCCGCCACCGCCACCGCCGCCGCCACTACCGCTGCGCACCATTTCCTCGATCTGCTCGAGGCAACTCTGAAGGTAGTCCTGGTAACAGCGAAAAATTGCAATTAGGTTGGGCTGTCGTTCTACCGAAACTCTATAGTCGCAGAATTCGCATTTCGCTCCACGGTAATCGCGTACGACCTGATTCTCTCGCCACGACGTCCGGATGCTCGGTAGCAGATCGAGCGTGCTGCTTGCCTGCTTTCGCGAAGGGCGGGGGGGGGGGGGGGGGGGGGGGGTTTTTTTTTTTTTTTTTTTTGTTTCTGCGATTGCGAGAAGTTACGATATCGATGGGAGAGGCGCTTGAGCGAGAGAAAAGGTTTTATGCGCGCGTACGCCCCGGTGCTTCTACGGATAAACCGAGGAAGCGAGATGTCTCAACGCAGTGGGGCAGTTAATTTGCTTGTTTAACGTTCTCCGGCTGTATAAGGCGCATGATTGTGAAGCGAGACGTGTGCAAAGTATAAAATAATTTTCAAAGTCTCGAGCGGAGGCACTTAACGAGTCTCGTGGTACGCGACGTTTTTTGGTAAAAGCATATGCTCGACACCTGCCACACGCTTCTATCCCTTTCTTTCCTATCCCTTCCTTACGTTCTTATCTCTCTCTCTCTCTCTCTCTCTCTCTCTCTCTCTCTCTCTCTATGTCCCCGTCTCCGTCTCCGCCCTCCTGCCACTCAATACTCCTTTGTAATATCTCTCTATATATTGCAGCCAGCATACGTGCATTTGTGCATACGCACTTACGTGTCCACGTATACACACAGCCACGGGTAGGCAATTTTCATGCAGTTACGTGAGTTAATACAAATATATATATATATGCAATGGCACACGTATAGTAACTGCCTTTTGGCTCGCACTATCGCTGAATAACTCGTTTGACATGCCACGCATCTTTTGTTTTTTCTTATGCCCGATTCATGCTCATGTTCAACTACCAAACACTCCATTATTAATATATGTGCGAATTTTCTGGATAATAGTGATAATAGTGATGATAGCGCGTCAATGTCATGCCGTAACAGTTACAATCAATGGACGCCGAAGGAAAATACGCCGTACTGTAAAAATCGTATATACCCGGATTAATTGAACGAATACGCGACGTAAGTACATCTTTAAAATATCATTACCACGAGTGTAAAATAAAATTGTTATAACAATTAAGAAAGAAAGGTCGACGAATAATCCGCGAAATCCTTAAAATGCACAACTAATTTTTTTAAAATTTTGTATAAAAACGTCATTGAATTTGAATTGAAAGTTGGCGGAATTATTTCAGTTAATCGTCTAGATCGATAAAAATATCGTTCGACAAATGGCGAATAATCACTTTATCGCCAAAATGCAGTCTCGCGAAAAGCAACCAGTTTATAAGAAATTTGTCTTGGATTTTCTTTTATGCAGGATGAAAAAAAAAATTAAACACGTATACACGATGGAATAACAGTATAATTTCCAGATGATTTGTGATACTCTTGTGCATGTACCCGCGCGTGTGTGTAAGTATATATGCATTTATAGATATATACACATACGTATGCAATCATATAAAAGGCAAATACTTTAAAAGGTAAAAAAGAAGAAAAAGAAGAATAAGTTCTTAGTTATGGAATTTTTCCACAACCACTCGTTGTATTTATTATCGAACATTAATTGCTTAGGACTGATGCCATTCGTTTGGACTTCTCAATGATCGCGTGAGTCTTTAAGCGAGGTAATATTTCAGCGATATAACGAACCTCGGCAAATAAAACAATTTGTCTGTTTATTTTCGGGCATTTATCACGGCGTCAAGTTAATTATATTAATCTCTTCCCCGTAAGCGAGGCATTAAAGCCGCATCAGGCCTGGCCCACGTGGGCCGCTGAAAGAGGTTAGGTTATTCCCTCGAGAGTGGGTCTTCAAACGGCTACGCATCGTACAATGCGGTATGCTCTTTAAAAGCCGAATATTGAGCACGATCCCTCCCTCTCCTCTCTCTCTCTCTCTCTCTCTCACTCTCTATCTCTCTTTACGGTCGTGCAAACACGGGAACGAGGTACGTAATGACGATAAGGCATGCTGCGCGGCTCGCCTGACCTCGCGATGGCGATGATAGCTTAGATAAATCCGGGAGGGGGTAAGTATGCCATCGCCGTCGGTGCAACAGCCATGATCCGCTACGTCGCCTGGGCGGCGTGCGAGGACAGAGGTGTCTGGACGCCGGGGTTGATATATTGGGGGGGGGGGGGGGGCGAGGTTGACACGTACCTGCTCGATGGCGGTGATGCGCGTGAGCTTGTGGAGTAGCCACGCGAGACTGTAGCCGCTCTTGCCGGTCCAGTCAAGGCCGTGGAGGGCCGCGGCCACCGATGCCGCGGCAATCATGCTCGGCGTGTACATGGAAAACTTGTACTCTGAAACAAACGAAAAGCATATTTCACAATCGGGTTTGGCCTTTATAGCTACGCCCGCCCAGATCCACGCGGCGAGTGATAAAAGCCGCGAGGCGTGAGAACGCCATGCCCCCGTAAAAATTACGGCGACATTGTGCACTTTTTGCGGAACCGTGCTCGCAGAATCGTGTGTTTGATTACTCTCTCTCTCTCTCTCTCTCTCTCACACACACACACACACAAACAAACAAACACACATACACACACTCACTCACTCACTCACTCACTCTCACGGGCCTTATCTCGGTACGTAGTGGGTGATCCCAGTGCTGAGAAATCGTTAATGAGATTCGAGGCCGCGCTTAAACCAGCAATTTTGCCGAGTGATTTTCGACGTCGCAATTATTGGTCGTTGACTCGCGCCCTTAGTCGATTGGGCCGATTTGACGCCACCGACCCTCGCGCTTCCGGCCCCCGCAACATCGACACTATAGACGACTTATGTACGAGGCCCATCTAGCTCACCTCTTCCCCTCGCGCATCCGCGACTTCGTTATCGCGCCTTTACACGCCTTCGTTAATTAATAGTAAAAGATTCGGCCGGAGCGCGCGACTCGCAAACATACCGCAAATCGAGTAAGCCACACTAAATCTTCGGTAAACATTCGACTTGACGCGCGATGTCATGTAGATCGCGCCTCTAATATAGCACGTCGCCCCGGCTTAAAGAGACACCAAGAGACGCCTCCTCTTCTTTTACGACGGTCTGTAGCGGGTCCCCTTTAAACCAAAAACAAAAAAAAAAAACGTAATCCGCAAGCGAAGCAGGCAATGCCCCCACCACGGCCATACGAGCTGTAATTAAGCGAGCGAGAGAGAGAAATAGTGGAGGGCGAATCCTCACTACGACGCGGCAATTAGTTATGACGCGCGATCCCTTGGGGTCGTGGCACGCGAGATAACAAACTGGCTTTGGACAAAAGATTTAAAGGCCTGCGACGACGAGGGCTTATCGCTCTCCGAGTGCCGCCGGTAGCAAGCAAACGCGTACGCGAGAGACCCGACGAGCCACGAACACACGTCCGTATACATATAGCATTACATCTTCGGCGCTTATCTACTCTCGCTCTCGCTCTCCCATGTCCCCTCACCGTCGCGCTACAACTGGCAGCCACCTCAGCCTAGACCCCCGCCCCCCGCCCCAACCACACGCCGTTCGCCAATCGCGCTCGCGTAACGACGGCGTATCGAACTGCATAGGACTCACCGGCTGTCTTTTCTCTCCTCTTTTTATTTTCCGCTCGAATTTCACGTAGAGTGGAAGCGGAACGAATGAATATACATCGCATGGTGTTGCATCTCGTTGTATTACGAGCGTAAAGTTGAGAACGATTCGTCGTGCGATCTGGTAATGATTGAATATAGGTCAAGACTGTCGGTTTGTTAATGGAGGCGGCTTCAATTGCGAAAAATTTACATGGCGAAGCGTAAGCGATTCTAAGGAGGGATAAGATTCTTCTTACCTTACTACAACGCGTATTTATTATTTTCATTAGCTTATCGCGTGCTTCCGATTCATTGATTATTAATCCCACGTAAAGCGAGTCGCTTGACGCGAATATCACGACGACGTATGCTTGTGAATCGATGAATTTTGCATTTCACTAAATACTACCGAGCTGCCAGTTAAGAAAAACAAGTCGGTTGAGGGCGAGGGAGGAGGTGGAGGAGGGTGGTGGTGGTGGGAGGGAGGAGGGGGGGGGGATGAGTTTTCTTGACAGAAATTGCAATTGATTAATCGATACCAAATACCAGTTGATTACGAATAAACTGACGATGATTAAGAATCACACTGGGGCGGGGGAGAGGAGGGCGGGGGGGGGGGGGGGGGGAGCAGCAGCACACGAACCGCGTAATTACCACCTGAATTACCAAAAGCATGACCGGTTAACTTATCTTTATCTTATTTTTATGGCTTATCATTCCCATTGATTTAATAATAACGACATTGAGGTGAGGTGAGATGAGGTGGGATGAGGTGAGGTAAGAATAGCCCCAGCCACTCTTGGAGGCGCAAATTTTCCAACTCGCGACTAATTGCAGGATGGAGCGACTGTCGGATTGAAATATTTTTGAAAGTGCGGGCGCATCGTCCTTGTAGAACGTCTTTCGTTAAATCGAACAAGATCGATAAAAAGGTAATAAGTCGGATTCCGCGTGACTACTCCCGCTTAACCGTGGCTCTCTCTCTCTCTCCTCCTTCATCGGCGTGGGACTTTCAGAATTTCTCGTCTCGAAAGGCCCGACTTTTTCTTACCTCTTCACCGAGCGCGCTCACCAAAGTCCCCTTAATTAATATTTTTCGCTAATTCACAATGAAAACACAAGCCGACGACCCAGAAAATTGACGAGCGAAGGTAGAAGGAGGGAGGTGGAGAGGGGTGAGATAGACAAACGAAAAAGTCGAGGAAAGCGGTTTCGTAAAAACCAACGCCGCCAACGAAATTCCCGAGCGTTTCTCGCATCTTAGATCTCGAGTAATAATATTAAAAAAAAAAAAAAAAAAAAAAAAAAAAAAAAACAATTGATGTATAATAAGCAGTCGTCGTAGCGATCGAAATATCTGGTCCTCGAACGAAGGAACAGTCGAGCTTTTTGCCATTTCCCTTTTACGAGGAGGCGTTCGGCCGCCGCTGTATAACGAGCCCAGGCATTCAGGCATTTAAACGAACGCACTCTCGAGAAATGATACACAGACACATGTGTAAGAAACTAGAGAGAGAGAGAGAGAGAGAGAGAGAGTGTGTGTGTGTGTGTGTAGTGGAGAGGGAGAACAGTGCAAGGGAGGACGAGCGAGAGCAAAAAATGAAAAAATAAAACGCGAACCTCGGGAATGAGAGGAAAGCAGCAGTGAATTTGGATAGGCGCGGAGAATGATACCGAGTTCCTTGGAATGTTCACACTTTCATTTTAATCCGAACTCCCACGAATTAACGAATTATTTCAGCATGATTATAATTTCATAAATAAAGGAAAGTTTCAATTGAATTAACTTGGCGATAGTGATTAACATTGTATATTAATATAGACAGAATCGCCGATTAACGTAGCGCTATCCCCCACCGCTCTTTTTTTTTTTTTTTTTTTTTTTTTTTTTTTTTTTTTTTTTTTGTTCCCGATATATACCGTGACTCGAAATATTAGCTATCATAAGCTCGTGCTGGAGTGTACGCTACACCACCTCCCGCTCGCTCGCTCTCTCTCACGAATGACCTTTTTTGTTTTGTTTTTGTTTTTTTGCTCATTTGAGCCGCTTCTCTCGTAATTAATCGAATGGGCGCAGGTAGATAAATAAAGAGAGCCGCAAAAATATACGCGCGCGGCTATTGTCATCGGCAACAAAAATTTGACCGCGTCATTAAACAAGTAAATGAACGAGGGAACGAGGGAACGTAGGTATAATTGAAGGCGGAGGCGACGGTTCTCCTTCAAAGTTCCGAAACGAAAGATGAAAGGGGCAGATAGAAAAGAAGACCATTATATCGGGCGAAGGAGCGAAGGGGGCAGAAATGGGAGAAGAGCGAGGTAGAGACGAAAATTGGAAATACAAAAAGGAGAGGCCACGAAGAACGAGGAGAGGCAAAGTTGGTCCATCCACCACGCCCCCGTGAGTGCCGGGGGATTTTCCCAATGATGCGCGGACGGGCCGCCACAACCCCGCGCATTATGTGATTTGCGTTATCGATCGATATGGCGGGCGCGCGCGGATCCACCGGAGCACGTAATGCGTATATCCTCCGAGCGGTCGTTACGGTCATTAGGCCGATCCAAGTGCCTGCGTACACGCATCGCATACGTCCCGTTGCAAGCCGCTGTAAGCCGGCGATTCCACTCCGTAAAAACCACCATCCCCCCACCACCACCCACCAGTCGCCCATCACTCCATTCCATTATCGAACCACCCCGTGCAGACCGATCATCGACCGATGGGAGCCGATGCTTCTCGCGAGCTCTGCCGTCGCTTCTCGTCGCTTCTCATCCCATTTCACCCCCTCCCCCTCCCCCCCCTTCATCATAGCGAATTGGAATAGAATTACGTAAGGCAACGGTGAGGGCCAGTCGCCGTCGCCACCCGACCAATGGGTTGGAGGCGCGAGGATCAGAAGAGCCGCCGCAAACACTCGATTCTTACTCTCAATCGTACGTTACCGAGGACTTTGGACGGCGGACAGTAGACTCGACTCCTCACACTCACCTCTGGCGCTAAGTGCGATGAAGGTCTGCGCGTGCCTCAGCACCATCCCCGTGTCCCAGGAACGCGGGTCGATGGGCAGGCGCGCGAGGATGTAGAGGAGAAAGTCGCCGGGCGTGACCGCTGACAGGTCCCACTTGAGCTTCGACACCACCAGCTGCTCCCACCTCTGAAACACGCCATAAAAGACAAGAGATCCAGGATTAAAAATCAGAGCTTCGAAATAAAAATCGCCTTTCATCGTGCAATAGCGGGCACAAATCCTAATCCTAGTTAGTTTATCCTTAATGCTTTAGCGCAGGGCTACGTGGCTTCGTCCCTTCTAAGGAGCTTCGCGTGTCGAGTGCGATCGAGTGTCGACCGACCTTCGACGAACAGGTAGCGGGGCATTTCCTGCCACGGAGTACTTGTGACTAGTGGTCCGATGATATTAATTCGGGGCGGACTTTGTCTGGGCTTTTGCGAAATGACCAGTAAGCAAGTCGTTGGCCTGCACGCGCTTGTTTCGACCGTTTGAGCAAGCAGTCTAATCCAGTCAAACAACCAGACACAACCAGACACAACCAAACACAACCAGACACAACCAGACAACAGACAGGCCTTTGACGTTCTGGCGAATTTCCGCACTCGTGTAAAAAGCCAAAGAAAGGCTACGGGGTGTCGTCGTGCGAATGTCCAACTACCGTCGTTTTCCTAAAAACACCATAAGGTCCGAGAGCCGTGTCCAAGGGCAGATCGTTAAAGTGTAACGCCCACTTGGCGAGCTTCCACTTATCGTGTCGATGAGCTGTAGCATTGTGGACGGTGAAGGTGAAGGTAACGATGACGATGAAAGTGACGATGACGGTGACGGTGACGGTGACGGTGATGGTGACGGTGAAGGTAACGATGACGGTGACGGCAACGGCGACGACAACGGTGGCGGCTCTTACCCGTTTCTAAACTTCGTTATAATAAACCTGTTTCGTCGTTTGACCCCTGGGAAAGTATGCGTCGTAAACAGTACCTTCCACTCGAGGGGGAGGAGAAACAATGGCCGAGGGGCCTTGGCGTTCTAATGAATTTGACGTATTTCTTGGGTTATGACGTAGTAGAAATCATTGGCAAATAACCTTCGTCTATCCCACGAGCGAATAATATATGACTGTACTGGTCTCGGCGTTGCGTCGCTATCGCGCCAAAATTATATCGCCATCGAATTACATCTTACGAATAAAGCCGAGCAGAGGCATAATTTTTTCATTAGCAACCTCCCCCCCCCTCCCTCCCCCCACTACACACCCCCTCGCAATTCCCTCAAGATTTCGAAGAAATTGGGTATACGTTCGCTTCAATAGCCAACTGTGAGTATCGAAATATAATGTACGCACTTGTGTTCATCCTAAGTGTACGTGTTTGCTTGTTAATCGCTTATAAATTCGTAAATTAAATTTAAGCTAGAGATTAGCGTTTTACGCTAATTGCCAATGCGCATGCATGTTCCTTGACAATTTCCAGCAGACGTTTCGTTATGTCTCATTAACGAATCGGATGAATATAATATCCAAGACGTTCTCAAAATTTCATATAACCCATTTAAGCCTTTCATCGTCGAGGTTTTAAACGAAGCTAAATTGCAACGGCAGCCCATACAGCATTCTACATTAGTGACTGCACACCCAGGATAACGCATAACGGTTTTGCCTCGCTTTTTGCCTCTATTTGAATAGAAACGAGAGTGAGAGCGAGAGTGAGAGCGAGCGAATGAGTGCTCATCCGTCCGCTCCAGGTAATAATCACACGAAAGGATGAGTTTTTGAACGACTAATGTAAAGAAGGTTATGGAGAGCTAGTCTGGGAACATTTTTATCACATCTCGTAGATTCGTATTCGAAGGAAGAAAAAAAAAAAAAAAAAAAAAAAAAAGATGGTCGGAATTGTGTACACGTCGCGCGAGCCAACCATATATCGATTGTTTCCAACGAGGCTAGAGAGTTCAAGTTCATTCGCTCTCTCTCTCTCTCTCTCTCTCTCTCTCTCTCTCAGCCAAAGAAAAGCCTTCTCCCATTGCGCCCCTCTCGGTCCTTTGTACTTCTTGGTCTTAAAAGGCGCCAGAGGTCTTCTCGGAACGCGTAGTTCGGGGAGGGCGAATTTGGGGTATAGCATTCCCGGGGCGCGTCGCGTATTGTAAAAAACTACGTGGCACCGGGTCTGCGGGCGCATTTGCAAAACTGGTTAGCCACCCCAAACGGATGAAATGTATGTGAATCGAAGGTGCGTTTCTAGCTTTGAAAACGGGAGCAGCAGCAACAACAAACAGCTCCTTCGCTCCAATGTGTGCAGTCGTGTGCAAATTGCGAAAAGAAACGAACAACGACGACGTTGACGACGTTGATGGCTGTAATCTGCGACAATTCCAACGTACCCCAGTAGCAGCAGCAGCAGCAGCAGCAGCAACAGCAACAGCAACTCGCTACCACTGCTACCCACCACACTTATTCCCTCCCTCCCGCTCGCTCCTTCCTTATTGACTTTTGCCTCCACCTTCGGCAACTCTTCCTCCTTACCCCACGCCAATGTATTTCTTTCCCAATGCTTATAATTGATATTGGGACGACTATAAGCAATTACTTACGCAGCCGTCTTATCTCGTTCTTTACATGAAATAGTAAGCGTAAGAATTATAAAACTCTCGTATATTGTATTTCGTGTTGATAAAAGCCACTGATCGCGACCCTCGTTCGACCATAAATCTGCGCTTATTGAATGTTTAAGCAATAAAAGCGAATGGTGGCGACGATGCGCGATATGCTGTCATTCCTACAAATTCTCAATTTCGTATATTCGAACGAGGGGACCCCACGGCTGCGCATCACCTATTTTTGATTTCCAACACTTGCAAGCCAATATACATATAGAAACGCGATGGTGAAAAGCGACAAGGTCTCAATCTCGATGAAATGAACGAGAAGTAATAGAAGATGGTGATAGAGAAGGAGAAGGCGAATGAAAAGAATGGGGAAAGGGGAAGGTGGACGATGGGCGGGGGATGGTGGGATGGGGGGGGGGGGGGAAAAAGAAAAGGCCTCATGGCAAAAAGAGCGTGTCGTCGTCGTCGTCGTCGTCATCGTCGTCATCCTCGTAGTAGCCGTTATCATCGTAGTCGTAGTAGCCGTTGTTACGGAAGAGTGCGCACGGCGTACTACGACTTACTGAATGAAACAAAGAGGCGCGTACACTGAGGATACGCGCGCGCGCGCGCGCGCAAAAATAAAGGAGAAAAGGTGAGCTCAGAAAATGGGGGAAGGTAGTGTACTCGCTTGTCACGCTTGGCTTTGCCTCGGTGAGAGCTCCCAACTGTGCTTCTCCCGAGTCTCTCCTTCTCTCTATCGACGTGTACGTGTAAGTGTGCGAGCGCGAGTGCGCGCGCGCACGAATCACGCGTGTCGCGTACTACTCGCGCTCGCTTGATAATCTTATACATCTCGATACAGTGTTGTGTAGCGTCGCGGGAATTGCGAGAGGGGCCCCGAGTGCCAATGATTCGCGCTTGCTTTCTCTCTCATTCTCTCTCTCTCTCTCTCTCTCTCTATGTCCCTACCCTCGCGGCCGCTCCTTTATGCGCACATTTCATTGCTTTCGACGTCAAAAATACGTTGGGGAGCCAGCCAACAGCTCGCACGATATTTTCGCGAGATTATTCAGCTTATGCACACCTGCCCTCTCCCTCGGATTACCGTATGCGAGCCATAATTTTCGGTTTGACGGCCTCTCGGCAATCTGCCAACACAACGCACTCTTGCCGATCATAGCAGAACACTGTCTTTTCCCGATCGCGCGTTGCCGACTACCAGTGCTTTTCCACACGCGCGCGACTTCCCATGACTACGGGGCGGCCACTATTTATCCATCTGGCAATTATTATCGCCTCGCTTTCCAATCGCATGATCGGTATCAGCTTCAACGTTGGCATTGTAATGAGAATTAATTTGTATAACGCCTTTCCTTATCAGCCCAAAGGCCTTAGTCTTTTAAACGATCGTCCGGCCGGCGCGCACCAACTCTGTTTTCATTTTTAACGACCGCGGCTTAATTTACCGTTTCCCCGATTAATCCGATTCTCGCAACTACACACGAATTATCTAATAATAATGGGCCACTATTTAATGACTTTAAGTAAACATGATTTTATGGCTTTATTATGGGCCACCGCCGGCATCGAATAACAAACGAGTTTTACGAAGTAGCATTCCCTAAAATAAGGCCTGCGCGCGCCGGCGACGTTTTACGCCTATATGAAAGGCAAGACGTGAAAGCGAGCCGCAAAGTCGCCAGGGATACCGGGAAAGCCTCATTTCCATAAACCGAATCTTCCGCCTTATTTACCAACGAAGACGATCGGCGACTGGCTTTATGCGCGCACGGTCGAGTTCAAGTTTGCGCGGCAGCCTTTTATATTTGCCCGAGGCCGGCCGGCCGGCCGACCGACCGACCGACCGACAGCTCGAATCACCTTGAATCCGTTCTCCCGACGGCGTTTTCTCTCTTACTCCCACCTTCCCTATTACGCCGCCGCGGCGTGGCTCTGTAGTACTCCTACTACAGCTAACACCACCGCTGCTGCTACTACTACTACTACTACTACTACTACTACTACTACTACTACTACTACTACTACTACTACTACTACTACTACTACTACTACTACTACTACTACTACTACTACTACTACTACTACTTCTGCTGCTGCTGCTGCTGCTGCTGCTGCTGCTGCTGCTACTACTACTACTATCACCACTACTACACTACTCTTACTTCAAAACCATTACTACCGCTCTTACCACAACTACTATTATCACCACGATATTACGTCTACGGCATCCGTGAGGGCGAAAAACTGTGATAAAAGGCGTGTGTTGGCCGTTAATGATGGCCTTCGTGCCGATGCCGCCGCCACCGTCGCCTCCATCGCTCAACGCCGACGATGCTGATAGATGACGCAAAATTAAAAATGGCCCGGTACTTGGAGAGGAGATGCGCGAAAAAATTCCTCCTCGCCCCACCAGATAAATTACGTGGCTGCGCTTCGAGCTTTATTTAGAGGCAAGATACGGCTTACGTGAGAAGATTACGTTGTGATATACCGGATTATTGCGTTTTCGAGCGTCTCGATTGGTAATCTACGTTTGA